CCTCTTTAAGCCCTGGACCGCAAATTTCCGACGAGCTACGTCCGAGCATAAAGTTAGATTGTTACACAGTTAGAAAAAATTGAAATAAATATATATTATATACTGCGACCGCACTCACGAGCGTGGTGCTACTTCGTCGTGCGTTCGCGATTACCGCTCTACACCACTTTCGTCGATAGCTTAACGGTTGCGTTCAAAACGCACCATGCCGCTACGGCTTTCTCAAATTTTACGTGTTCTCTAAACCTCAACGTCAATAATTGGGCGCCAGGCACGAGGGAGCGTGCCCCTCTTTCGTAAGTCTTTCGTTACGTTCTCACTCGAAAATACAGAAGTGTAGAGAACCACGAACGCGGACGGCTCTAATAACCGACTGCTCAGCCACGACATAACGGTAAAGGGGGTGGTTCGTGGTCGGGGATGGAGGATCCTTTGGAGAACGAGTAAGGCGAGCCAACAGTATAATAGACAGTTATTTGCGCAACATCTCCCGCGCTTGACTCCTACTGCCCTTGTTCTTTCATTGTTTTTTGATTTATAAGGAGTCTTAGTTAGGTTGATTTATTATACGTTATAATAGACAGAATTGTTAACAATAAAATAATAACAAATATATTCTCAGACTCGTTTACAAGGTCCCGTATACGCTGGCTGACGATGTGTTATCCAAAGCGTTAAGGGGCGGTATTGCCCCTCCGAGATACGTTCTCGCCACGCGATATTAAATAACGACTGCTCTTCTCTATGATACGAGCTCTAAATTTTAAGGTAATTCCACAAACAGCGGACAAGGTAGTTAAGGAAATCAACCGCGCAGTTACGAAAATCTCCGAAATTCAGGAACATACGAGAATATTCTCCGAGACCTAAGATCTACTACAATGACGATAAGACGCGATACAAAATTATGACGCAGCAATACGATACAAAATTACGACGCGACGATACGATACAAAATGACTTGGCTGTGGCCGCGGCGGGCGTGCGAATTAACTGACTCGACATTATAACAAAACCAAGACGATATCGGACGGGATGGCACGATCACGCGGTGCAGCCGCGACACATTTACTCGCGAGAGGATCCAACGATAATTTCGCGGATACGTGCGATCCCTCCGACCCGGAAATCGGTGGCTTTACAATCAGATGCATTCTCACCACGGGATCCTCTCGGTACTCGACCTCAATGTATGTCCTGCGTCCTCTCGCACGTGTGTGTCGCCTCGGGAGTCCATAGCACAAGTGCCGGACCCGAGATCCCTTCGGGGGCGCGCAGGCGACCGCGGGCCCACGTGATAAGCCTTATCGGCCCTGATTGGTCACAGGCCATCTCGCGAGCTTCCGCGAGTCCTCGCGACTTGCTGTCGCGTCGCACGCCCTATGTCCCTGTGCGCGCGGGATTTGACTTATGGCTGGGGGCGTTTCGGCTACACGCAACGGTACCCTCTGGACTACTCTTGCCGGCGTGTCGTCAGGATTCGGTATGTTCCCGTGCAGACTCGTCTTCCGGGTTCAACGTTTCCCTTCGGCAGAGGCTTCCTTGCTGCACCGACAGCGGGATTCCTCGCTCGTACTATGGCAGAGGGTGGCCATCCCCTCATGCCGCTTCCGCCGCTCCCGCGGCATAATCGCCTGTAAGGAATTCAGCTATAGGAAAACAGTTATGCGCAGAGCATTAATTCGATAATTCAAAACGGTATCACCTGTGCGCTACCCCTCCTCTGGGTGGCCTCGGGCCTCCAATATGGTCTTCTATCCTCTTCTTTGCCGCCTCCTTGAGGTGGTGAGAGAATGTGTCGCACATTAAATTATCTACCGGAGCCGCCGATACTAAAAATCTTAAATAAATTCACAAAAAGAAATAGCAATATTACGCGAAACGCAACGACAAAAATCTCCCAATTATCGCTCAAAAATTGCGATAAGCGTCGGCACGCCCGCCCTCCGCGTGAGGAGGACACAGGACAAATTTGTCGCGCAACTTTGGCCAGATCTAATGACCCTTGTGACGGACGGTGAAAAACGTCACGTCACAATACATATATATTTTATTTAATAGTATATGTAACTGTTTATAATTACAATAAATATTTATCATACATTCCATATTTATTTCAATTGTAACAGAATGAATTTATAATATTCCATGAATATATTGAAAATAAAGAATGGGCTCCTCCATCGCCCATTCTCGCGAGAACGCAATCATATTTTCTTCGTCTTTCCAATTTTAACAAACTCTTTGACATAGAGATTTTTGTTATGATACTCTTTGAAATATCATGAAGTTCTTCGAATACGATAATAAATTTTTATTATTCGTGGTAATATATCGATATAATCAATAGATTTTTTTGACAAATTACATTTCACTTTAGAAAAAAATCATGTTTCAACAACATACATATATACCATATTTTTGAGCAAACTAAAGCGTACTACATCTGGTGCAAACTACATCTAGTGTAAAATATATAACTAATACACGAATTGATCGTCTTTGGGATATCTTTTATTACTCCAAATTTTTCTAATTGGGCGCCTAAGGCAAGCCCTATACACACATATACCATATATATATATACATTCTTTATTATTATTTAAATAAAACCTTATAAATAGAACCCTAAAACCCTAATATATAGAATTTCAATTAGATATTTAATAGCAAAAATGTTAATCTGATATTGAAATCGTGTAATTAATACAAATAACTAAGCTGTTAAATAAATAAGCGAAAAAATATATTATTACTAGATTATTATTCATGTTGCATTATGTATATTAACTGAATTCAGACTTTAAGACATACTCTTTATATTTCTCATCTTAAATCACAATACTATAAATTTTAATTAGTAAGTAAATGGAACATTTGATATACATATTCACATTAAAACGGAAAGATTAAGTGATAAATTTAGAAAAACTTAAAAAGACACCAGAGAGGATGAGAGAGGGTGAGAGAGGATGAAAGAGGGTGAGAGAGTGAGTGAGGACGAAAGGGGGTGAGAGAGAACGAAAGAGTGAGATAGGGCGAAAGAGAGGTGTGATGAGGTGGGTGTGGGGGAAGAGGAAGGGAAGAGGGAGGGGGTGGAGTGGATCAAAGTTGGGGAAGGTGTGAGTGAAAGGTGAGAGGAAAGAGGTGCATATGACTGCGGACAGAGAAGAAGACGTTACTTCATTTTTCATGAAAATCATCATTTTTTAATCGCTTGTACGAGGGGCACTACTTATATCTTGAGCCTTCGCAACACTGAGTGTTGTCAGGTGCCATCTGACGTTTTCATTAGAAAGTTTGACATTTTTGACCATAACCTTCTTCAGAATGTTTTGTTATTTGAGCGGGATTTGTATTGTTGACAGTGACTTGAAAATTGTATCTCAGCGAAAAAACGGAATTAACTCGTGAAAATTTTCGTGCAATGATTTATTACGACTTTCGACGTGGATTATCAAGACAGGAGTG